AATTGGATGGTTCCAATATAATGATGGGATTTTTGTTTTTCTTTTTTGTTTTTTTTTTGAGGGTTTTTTCAGATCTCGTCACCAAATTTTGGGATCTAATTTGGCCTTATTATTAAAGGTATGTATATTATATTAAAAATAAGGCCGCCCGCCATGGGAAAATGCTGTTTCAGCCGCAGAAACGTCTATGATGGTTCGAAAATTTATTTTCACCCCTCGATTAGAAAATTTAATGCAACCAAACTAATCTATAAACACTTAGAAAATAAAGGGCCAAATTATATGTTCTCAATATACAATATTTTCAAGGCTTGAAATTCTTTTTTTAATTCCATATTTACAAGATCAAGATAATTAATTTCAGGAAGTTTCTATGCTAAAACAATATTTTCTAGTCGATATTTTGGAAAGAGCAGCCTACTTTTTATTGTGGTCATAATATATAAACTTTTGAGATTGTATACTATAAGATCAATTATATTTACTATAAAATACTCACAATTACTTTTAACTGTCATATGTAAAATCTAAAAACTCTAAGTTTGTCACAAAGTTTAAAAAAAATTTCAGAACTTTAAACCAAATTTATGAAACACTCATAATCATCTGATTTGACATCTAACGGCTAAACATAATTATGACCACCTAAAGTGAATCGTATTATTGCATACTTTTCCTAAACATGATTGTATGCTATAATATCATTTATCCTTGTTGCAAGAAGGTTACAAATTTCTCTTAACCATATCAAATTGGATGGCTTGGCACCCCAAATTGAAATCCGATGAACACAAGTCATTGTGACCTCCTTATGATAAAAATAAGTTCTCTTTATACACTTCTCCATTTTTTTTTTATTTTGAACTGCATTAAAATGGACGTTCTCCCAAAATTCAATTCAAAAGAGGGTACTTAGAACCCCATACGTTTTATCAACACAAAAAAAGTTTTTGAGACCAAATTTCAGGATGAGATGTTGAATATAATTTTCCACTGTTACTTTTTTACATTATTTCACGCACTCATGCTTTGCCAGTCCAAATTCCAAACAAACACTGCCTCAGAAACTACTCAAAAAGGATTTGAATCCCAAATTTTTCTCAGACAAAATTGAATAACAGGACCCAAATTTCCAAAATTCTCCCTGATTACTACATCAAAAATTTCTTATATTCAAGAGGAATACAAAATGGACGACGACTCCCTCATTTCTTTCCACCTCCGGACACATTGAACTTGAAGAAGATTATATCGCCGTCTTGCACCACGTAGGTCTTCCCTTCCTGCCTGTATTTCCCAGCAGCCTGTGAATGCAAAGATTTAAGTTGTAGAGTGTAGAAATAAGCCACCAATTCAAAAGCTGAAGAATGAGGTTTTCTTTCTTGATTATTATCTAGTGTTCAGCAGGATGAGTTCGCAGCACAAACCTTTAAGGCTGCTTCACTGCCCAACTCCTTGAGATCCTCAAACTTCATTACCTGGAATCAGGTAAGCATGCATGCAATCTATTTGTAAGTGAGTGCGAGCGCACATGCACTCACACACTGATGAATCCTGATTTTCTCTCTTGCATGCAGTTTTAAGTGCTCTCTCCTCTCTCAGTATCTATCTATCTACCAGACTATAATGATAATTTCCAGATCTACAAGAGACTTATTGATACGGTAATATGACAAAAAGGTAACCATAATATTTTCCATTGTTATCATCATCACTTTCGTGAGCCCCGTAGTAATTTGAAAATAATTTAAAAAATAGGCACTCCGAGTTTCTTTTCGCTCCTTTTTTCTCAGATAATGTTTAAGCAACTTCCCGTTAAACAAGACAAGCAAATCAAGCTGATCAAAAAGCTTGCATATGCATTGACGAAACAAAAATCTATATATACCTCAGCACATATAAATCCTCTCTCAAAATCAGTGTGAATGGCACCAGCAGCTTGAGGAGCCTTAGTCTGCCGTCTGATCTGCCAGCATTTCACCTGCAAAATCCATTTCGATGCTGCATTAACCCCACATAATTCACACAAGTTTGCAAGCGAAAAAACGAATATACAATGGATAAAATACCAAAATCTATAAAATAAGAAAAGTATACAATAAGACTGTTTAGTTCAGGCTCAAAATCTGGACAATCACCTTTAGCAGTCAAATATGAAATCAGGCGGCTGGAGATGCACCAATGATCATGCTCAAAGTCGAGAAAATTATCCTCAGATTTTGTGTAGAAAAATGATACACTCCAGCCATCTGATTTTACATTGGATGGCTTGCAGTGTTTGTGACCTTTGTGTACGAATATAAGCCATAAAAATAATCAAAAAATTACTGAAAGAACCATTAAATAATTAACAAAGAAGTTGATGAAGAAGAGGGGAATGGTAATTCCTTTCATTTCCCAGATTTCTTCTATCTTTTTAGTTTTGTTTTTTTATATATGAAAGTGACTTTTATTGCAATATAATAGTTTAATACAATATCCAGGATACACATAAAATAATCAATTTTATTTTGGTGTGGATGAAGCCGAATTTGTAAATTCTAAAGTCAAACAAGATCAAGTTCTTGTAAGAGCAAACGAATCATCACTAAATCAATCCATTAATTCCATGAAAATGGATATGTTTTAAAACTTACTACTATTTTCTCTTACTTAATTTGACAAAAGAAATGCCAGCCACATTTTTAATGGAAAATTGCATGTAAAAACAATGAAGGGTGTGTATTGTATCAATAAAAATCTAAACACTCAGTTTCATAGTAAACTTGTATTTTGGTGTACTTGTATGGCGAAAAAGAGATTACCTCATCAGGTCCTGCAGTGAAAAAATAGATCAGATTGATTGCAGAGAATCCAGTCTTTATGATCTTGGGGATGGCACTGTAGGAACAGGAAAAAAGGGGGTTGGTTGATCTACGTGTTGCTGGGGAGAGTGGTGCTCTTAGTATCAGAACTTGGTGATCAGATTACAAAAAAGAAAACGTTAGCTTTTTCCTGCCCTTACAACCTATGGCAGAGAGCTTTTGTATGTCAAATAAAGCTATTAATACTGCTACCTTCCCCTGTAAAATAAAATAATAATAATCAACTTGCCTCTGAATTTTGTTCTCGTCACAGTACTTTGCAGCTTCGTCCTCTGGCATATCTACAAGGCTCTTCTCCAATACACAGCTGAAAGGGATGATGGGCTCGCCTCCATGCTCTTGCACCCTGTAAATGGGGGAAATAAAAAAGTGCGCACTTTTATTTCATATCCATAAAATTGGAGAATCTACTGTGAAAACATTGGTGCCTCCAAAAAATACTTTTTACTTCATATGCATAAAATAGGAGAATCTACTGTGAAAATATTGGTGAGGCAACCACAAAATAAAAGGAAACAGCATGCACATGGTGATATGGATGCATCTCTAGCCGATACAATCTTAGAAACATTAACTTCAAAAAAATAAAATAAAATAAATAATAAAAGAGAGAGAGAGAGAGAGAGAGAGAGAGAGAGAGAGAGAGTAGAGTAGAAGAAACACTACCACGACAGTAGGTATACGTTAGGACAACGTAACGTTTCGTTTCTTTCTTTCTTACGTAGTAATTAACTTTCCTTTC